AGAAATGTTTTAGTCTTAATTTAYCATTATTCTGTGGCTGCTTTATGGAGGAGAACCCCCTCCTTGCATCTGCCAGGAAAACAAAAAGCTGATCCTCTGCACCTGTCCCCAATTCACCATCAGCTGAAACGAAATTCAGTCGGCTCAACAAAGTGGCAGCAATGACTCAGTATGGAAATAAGAATTATTTCTTTCAAACTCTATTCTGAGGCAGCACAAGAGAGCGGGCCCATGTTCCACAGCACAGCAGATCTGCTGGGGCACGTCCACAATCCTCTCCCAGAGCTTCCTCAACAGCTCAGAGACAAAAGGAGAAAATACTGATTTTCTCTCCGAGACTGATGCACATCTGCTCCAGTCCCTATTTACATTTTCAGACCTTAACAAGGCATGGTTAAAATGCAAGGAAACGGAGCAAAAATAGAGGAAATGTTGCAAGTCCCAAGTTGCAGCTAGCCTGCACTTCAGTTTTCCCAATATCCACCAAATTTTAATAGAAATTTGTTTAACAGACTCCCCTGAGGGTGATTTGCCAGAGGAGCTGTGGCTGCCCTGGATCCCTGGRAGTGTCCAAGGCCAGGTTGGACRGGGTTTGGAACACTCTGGGATAGGGGAAGGTGTYYCTGCCCGTGGCAGGGGGTGGAATGGGAYGGGATTTCAKGTCCCTTCCAACCCAAACCATCCTGGAATTCTACACTGAAATAGTACCTCTGAAAATATTTCAATTCTGAGGATGCTGGGGCAAGAACTGTGAAAACTTAAAAAAATTCCTGCAGCAAACCTTTGTATATCTGCTGTCCACCTTAACCAACCCCGCTCCCTTCTCCACTCGGATTACACAGCCACTAAATTCCAACAAAAGTTTGGGTTTCAGGTCTTTAATTCATTCCCCATTTTCAATAAAACTCATTTTGTTGTAGTGAATAAACCTCATCCATTCCTCGTGGCAGTGAACACAGGGAGATTTTGCAGYCACATAATACAGCTATTTAAAAAGTGCTAATTGCTTCTTTTGGAAAAAGTGCCTGAATGTTCCYGTTCCAGCACGGAACGAGCAGCATTCGTTCGCTGCTCTCAAGATTATTTATCTTCCCTGCTCCTCTATTCCTAATATTCTCCACTTCAGTTATTCTGAAGCCTGGCAGGCTCTGTATAAAAAGAAAATTAGTAAATGATTTGAAAAGGAGCTGGTTTAGAGTTGAGCCAAGTGTAAAACAGTGAGTAAAGCAGAGTTTCACTGCAGTTATGCCATCCTAGAGTGGAAAGCCATGGAAAGCCATGGAAAASCTTCATATCCTCACTTCAGAGAGGCACTGACACAATTATTTCGGTCCCCATTAAATGCAGGAATATCCACATCCTGAAGGACACGGCTTGGGGACAGAAAGGCTGCAAAGATCCACACCRTGTCACCCAGAGAGGAGGAAGAGGATTGCTCTTGAAAACCACTCTTGGAAACCACTCTGCCAGTTTTCCTACTTCATGCTTGATTCGTATTTCTGCCCAAAAATAAAGACAAGTAAAAGCTGTTCTTTGTGGCTCAAAGAATGATGTCATTTAATAATTGTGATAAATGGAATTTGGCTGCTCCTGTTTGGTGTTTTCTGCCCACAATTCCATCTGGAAGTCACCGCCAGGAGTTCACTCGCCGTCAGCTGATGGCTCCAAAGCTTTTTGCAGGTCTCAGGTTTATTGCTGAGCTAATATTTGGGAAATAGGATTCACCACTGAGGAATAGAAGGGGAATGATGTCACTCAGTCGCCGTAATTTTGTGAAGAATAAAAAATACTGGGCTCTTCCTGGAGGACACAGAGGCCACCTCCTTTTTCCGTAAACCAAGCGCCACAGGATCCGTCCTGGAGACAGACTCCTCCAAGCCAGACAGAACATTTGAGCTGTAAAGCAGCTCCTCATCACAAATGGCTCTGTGCCATTGCAAACAGGAGGTAAAACTCACTTGAAGGTGTATTTGATACAACAAAGTTCAGCTTGACCCGTTTGCTGGGCTTGAACAGTCAATTTTTTTGCCTCTCTCTGTTAATCCAGCCTGAAAAGCTTCGTATTCAGAATGAAATGCTTTATCGAAGACTCTGTGAACATGCTGTAGTGCACATGGATTGACAAAAAAAAGCCACCAACAAAGCCCATCTTTAGAGAAGCAGAAGCTGGTCCAGGTCACGGAGCCCAGAGGAGTGGATGTGYTGGGTGAAGCCGAATTGAAAACATCCTGTGCAGTGAGGATTGCACCAGAATTCAAATTCGGGGCTGTTTAAACCCTTGGTGATCACTGCGGGTACAAAAGGGACTCTGATCCTGTCCCCAAGGAAAAGCAGGGCACTGTCACCCYGTGGACGTCACCGCTGTCCCGTCCCTGGGTGTGACTCATTCCCGARGCTCAGCAATGCGGATTGCAGGGACAGCATCCAGCTGTCCTCAGGATCTCCCTGCGAGCTTTGCAGACAGAGTGAGGCACCAAATCATCCCTGGAGGAGCTGKTATCTCCCAGTCTCATCATCCAGTGCCAGTGTGGGGGCCTGGCAGAATGGAGAGCATCCATCATTCCCACGGTGTGATGGGAACGTGGCGAGGATGAAGAATTGCCACAAATCCCTCTCCTTTCTCTCTCATCAGAAGAGCTCTGCCCTCCCAGCTCCTAAATCAGCCCCACTGAAGAACTTCTGAATCTTTGCTTGGAAAAACGAAGATTTGTGCAAATAGGGCATCATGAAATCCCTCCGTGCTCCATGAAACCCCCTGGGGACACGTTTTGGCTGAGAGCACTGCTGGTGACACGGCTTTCTTCCCTGTGGTTTATGGATAATGATCTCCTGAGCAGCAAAACCAGTCGGGCCAGACGCTGCCCAGCCACCCRAGAGGGCTCCAGGGAGGTTGTTTGCACGGAGCTGTGACAGTGGGGCGTGAAAGGAGGTTAAATATGTTTTATTGAGCTGAGATTTGCCGCCTCCCAACCTCTTTCAGGTTTATTTCCCTTCTCTCTGTATCCTGGGAGTCTGTAAATAAMTTCAGTGCTTCCCAGGAGGCTGCTCTGTAAATGTGGGGTTGGATGTGAGATGCAGGGGGTGTTTCCAATGGAAGTTGTGGTTTGGTTTGGTTTTTTTTTAATAGAAATGAAATAAACATGAACTTCCATTCATCAAAGTTGGAATGAAAAAGGAATATTTGTTGAGACCTCACAAATGGAAAATAAAGAAGGAGGAAGAGGGCAGGAATAGAAACCACTCAGCCTGGCTTCCCAGAGCTTTCATAGGGGATGGATATTGCTGATCTCAGGGTCTTCCAGGTCAACAGAAAATACGAATTTATCAGCCTGAAAATTAAGTTTTCTACATTCCTAAGAACTTAACTCAATCAACACAGTGAGAAATCATTCAATTTCTGCTCTTCCTTAGCTTTGGGCTCCCTGGTGCAAAAAAATAACTCTCCACACTCAAGAGGTTATTGAGAAATTGTTTTATTAAGGCTCAGCCAGAAGATGAAAATAAATGTAAGGGTGGCTGAGACTGCTGGGATGAGCACCCTGGAACTGCCAGGGCACAGAGAGATATTCCACAAAGGGTCCCAAAAAACTCAACCAGGCCCCAGGCTCTAGTTTGAGAGGTTTTGGGAAATTCAGGTGGAGATAATGGGATTGGAAAGAAGGCCTACTCCAAGTTTCCAGCATTTTCAGCATGTGTGTGGTAATGGCTGGTTTGGCAATGTGCAGATTGAAGTAAAAGCCTGCAGATTCCCCCAAAAAATGTGCAAACTCCCTGCTGGTGTCAGAGCATGGGATGAGCCATGTGGGGCACCCGGCCCAAACCCAGCCCACTGCCGGACAAACAAACAACAATAAAAATTCAACATGAATGCACCAAAAAAACCTCAGGGGAGTAGAAATTGGAGGAAGTGGGGAAAAGCAGGATTRGGGTGTGGTGGAGGAACCCTCACACTGTTCTGTGGTGGCACTGAGCCCCCGAGTCCCCTCACATGTAACCACACACATGCCAAACACTTCAAGCTGCTTTTCCCCCTCTCTCCTTGAAACAATAACAAAAAGAAGAAATGCTACAGTTCTGAAGGCAAGTTTTGGAGTGTTAAACGTGCTTTGCTCTGCTGGGTCTGCATTGCAGGTGCACTGTCCCCATGATGCCATCAAGGCGTGCAGGGCCCCTGTGCCACCAGGGAAGGTGTGTGTGGTCCTTCACCATCATATAAGGTGGGCATTGTCCTTCCATCCCTGCACCAGGTGAGCCTGTTCCTGTGCTCCCTGCAAAGTGTGCAGGGTCCCTGTGCCACCAGGGAAGGTGTGTGTGGTCCTTCACCATCATACAAGGTGGGCACTGTCCTTCCATCCCTGCACCAGGTGAGCCTGTTCCTGTGCTCCCTGCAAAGTGTGCAGGGTCCCTGTGCCATCAGGAAAGGTGCTGGTGGTGCTGGTGCCACCGTGCAAAGCTGCTCCTGGTCTTTGTGCTGCCAGGAGAGATCTGAATGGTCCTTGCATTGCTGTGCAAGGTGCAACTGGACCCTGTG